CTCTGTCTTTCAATCTTTCTCTTTCGTTCTGTCTGTGTTTGTGTCTTTGGCATTCTTTATCTCTTTCTTTGCTTCTCTTTTTCTTCATCTCTCTCTATCTCTCTCTCTCTCTTTTATAATTTTACTTTTTCACTCAATCTCTTTTCTTCTGGTCTCTCTTTCTCTGTATTTCTCTTTCTATTTATTACTCTGTCTCTCTTTCTCTCCCTTTCTCTGTCTGTCTCTTTATCTCTTCCTCTGTCCTTCTCTCCCTCTTTTATTATGTATCATGCCTGATGTTTCCGCCCTTGTTGTAATTTACTGCTTCCTACTTTCTTTCAGTCTGCTTTCCTCTTCCTCCTCCTCCTTCTTTTCTCTCCATGAATTATTGTTGTTTCCTCCTTATTTTCGACCTATTATTTTTTCCTCTCATTCTTGATACTTCATCATTTTCAGTCTGGTGCTTACGTTTTCATTCTCCCTCTGCTCCTCCTCCCCTTATCCTTTATTTATCTTATATATTTCTTCTTCTCATCTTCCTCGTCTTTATCCCTTCTCCTTCGGGTCTTTATTCCTTATTCTTCTCCTCTTCTTCTTCTTTGATCCTTCTCCTTATCCTCCTCTTCCTCTTCTATGTTCCTTCTTCCTCTTCTTCCTTGATTCTTCTTCCTCTTCTCTTCCTCTTCTTCCTTGATCCTTCTTCTTCTCCCCCTCTTTCTCTTCCCTCCTTAGACTATTCATTAACCTTATACAAAAAAACCTGCAGACACATTACTGAGAGAGAGAGAGAGAGAGCGAGGAGAGAGAGAGAGAGAGAGAGATAGGAATCAAGGAACAACTGGTGTATCTTAAGCAAAAGACAATTACTGCCAGGATAACACAACTTTAAATCTTGCTTTAACTCTCCCGTAATGGTCGACTTCTAAAAGAGACAACCCCCCCCCGCCCCTCCGTTGCCATACTGCCGGATTTCTTTAGAATATAAAAGGAATCGTGGAGTAATCCCATTGGACGAAATCCCACTGAAGAATCTCATCAGATGAATCTTCTGTGGACAAAATCCCTAGAAAAACGTCCATTAGGCTTTTGTTTGTTTATTTCGCTGGACAAAATTCCTCAAATTAAAAAAAAAATTATCATTTGCTATTTTTTTACCACTGGACAAACTTACACAAAGAACAAAATATCATCAAACAATATATGCCATTGGACAAAATCACATTGGCATAATACATTGGTCAAGTTTTATCAATCTGGTGTTGGGATTTTGTCTAAAAGTTATTTTTGGTGGAATTTTGTCCAGTGACATTCTATCTACTGATACAGCTTTTTATCTATAGAGAAATTTCCCTATGCAATTTTATCCAGTTAGATTTAATAATAGATAAAAATTAGTATTTAGTCTAAAATGTTATTTCTCAGATAAAATTTCGTCTGTTGACATTTTGACTCGCGTGGCATTATTCCAGGAGAACAATACAACACATTTACTACACCCCAGGGACGATTTTTACCGCCTTCAGAACCGTCCCAGAAGAATTGAATTGATGTTGACGTTTTAAATGAGCTACTTCACTTCAACAACTAAAGATCTTCAAGAACGTACTCACCCTTAGGTTCATAACTACTCCCTGCCAAAAAAATATTACTATAACTGTTTATTCCTTTGTTTAGACACAGGCTTGTTGATATTGATGTTATAATTTATTTTAGTGCTTCAACAACTGATGCTGAAGTCTTTAAGCGCTTCTAGACTGTTGGTGTTATAATGTATCACTGCTTCACCAACTGAGGTCTTAAAGCGTAAAGCGTGTAACAGAGAAGAAGTTTACAGTGTTCATTTTAAGTGAGGACTCCCCGGGGTGTGTAGGACAGCGTGACCCAGCTGTCTTAACCCACAAGTAGAAGACTGACTCGTAAGAAATTGAGTGAGTTCTAGTGATGACTCCCTCCAGGATTGAGTGTCTAGGTTAGTACTCTCTCATGATAACACACAACAAAGTATATGTGTGTGTGTGTGTGTGTGTGTGTGTGTGTGTGTGTGTGTGTGTTTCTGAATTAACATACCACATCAAAAAACTGTAATTTTCAGCAATATATAAGAATTTTCAGCAATTCTCACTTGACATGCTTTAGTGCTGACCACCAGTGAAGTTGTATAGTATAACCAGTGGTGAATAATTAATCTCCTCTGACGACCATTGCAGGTACCACATTAATTGTTTACTTGACTCTTGCAAGAATATGAATAATAAACTGATCTATATTATACACGATAGAAGTATTAAAATTCAATTATGAGATGCTGAATGATAAAGAAAGAGTAGAGAGAAAAAAGAAAAGCAGAACTAAAGATAATTAATAACTGAAAACTGTATAGAATATTACTATGCAAATAGGTAAAACAAAATACTAAAAAAATAAACATATATTACAAAACAATTACACAAAAATAACGAAATTAAAATAAGCAAAATAATATAAATCAAAAGGAAAATTAATATATACATATATATATATATATATATATATATATATATATATATATATATATATATATATATATATATATATATATATATATATATATATATATATATATATATTTAAATATGCGAGTAAAGATTATCCCTGGGCAACCAAGGGCCGGTTAAGTCAACAGCTTCCTACACTAAGCTTATTTTATTGCTTGTTTTTTCAGGGAAATTAAATATGTGTGGAGGAATTTTTTCCCCCAGTCAAGAGTGTAAACATTGGTGTGGACTCTTGGGAAAGAAAAAACGAAGGGTTATAATTTACAAGAGAGGAGAAGGAGAAGAGAGAGAGAGAGAGAGAGAGAGAGAGAGAGAGAGAGAGAGAGAGAGAGAGAGAGAGAGAGAGAGAGAGAGAGAGAGAGAGAGAGAGAGAGAGAGAGAGCACTGATAAAACAACAGACAGACAGACAGACAGACTGATAGATAGATAGATAGATAGATAGATAGATAGATAGATAGATAGATAGATAGATAGATAGATAGATAGATAGATAGATAGATAGATAGATAGATAGATAGATAGATAGATAGATAGATAGATAGATAGATAGATAGATAGATAGATAGATAGATAGATAGATGAGTTACAGAATAAAAAATAATAACTCGAACCAACCAAACATTTTCTGTAAGACAAACCACAAGAATTTTTACCCATCCAGAGACACGTGCTGTAAAGTGGACTTAACCAACACATGAATCCACTCTTACCGCCACTTCATATCCACTTTGTATCTACCTGACATAAAGTAGACTCAATGTAGAGCTCAATGACGCACTTTTAAGCCCCTGAGATCGTCTGGGAATTGAGCCCTGGAGGTCAAACAAGGTCATCAAGTTAAAGATCACAGAGAAGATCAATGGTGAGACTTTCACGGCGTCTCAGAGGGTGAACTTGTGACGGAGACGACTTGAGATATTGGTAAGTTAAGATACGCCCGTCTGACGCCATGTTGCAGGAAAGATATCTGAAGGTTTTAACAAGATCTAATTAAGATATATATATATAGGCTTAAGAGAGGCCTCAGTCTTACGTGATCTAGAGAATTGTAGTTTAAAGATGTTGGATATCCTTAATTAGTTCTGATTAAGATATATGATACTCCCCCAAGATTCAGGGACTTGTAATAATGATAAAGGAGATGCGGTGGCCGAGTGGATAAGTTGGTCTCCTATTCCAAGGGTCTCTGGTTCTCGCTCAGGACAACCCTCGTTCGTACAGTTATAAATTTATACCGAATTTTATAGTTTAGAAAGTGATGGTGGTAAGTGTTACTGGGGGTTTTGACGAATTGACGATTGATGGAGATACTAATATAAATTACTTAATAATAACATTGTGTATTATTTAGTTTTAAGGACGTTTAATGTGAGAGTGAAGTGACCCCAGACATCAGATAAGACAGTGTCCTCTTAAGGAACAAGAGTGGAGCATGTATTCTAAAAGAAGGAAAACACATTAATTCAGCAGTTGATATTCATGAGGTTAAGAGGAGTATTAGTTGAAGTAAGAATGAACCTGGTAATGCGTTGTGGAAGTTATTAGTTAGTGAGCGTATTTCAGGACGGCATTATTATCTGAGGGAAAATATTCTTATAAAACATAATATATTGCAATCATTTAGTTGTTACCGGGAGACGACACTTTCCTGTTTATATTTATTATGTTATGGTAAATTGTTTAAATGTGAAAATATAAAAACAAAATTCGGATGAAAAAAGTAGAGAATAATGATTACTTACATGAAAATTAAGAAAATTATATATTTACGAAATTATGTAAACCGTTACGTAACTCGCCACCCACCCGAGGCAAAACAAAGAACATTTTCCGAGGGGCGGATCACAAGAATGTCCCAGCTGGTGGTGGGTAGTTTGTTCAACCTCCCTAAGGCGAGGTAACTACCACCATTTAATTCTAAGGGCAAATAAACTTGAACTTAACTCTATTGCAACGTAAAAAAATAAAATAAAATAAAATGATAAAATTCCTTACAGGCCAGTGTTGACACGTCTCTTTTGTTCCCTGCCAACAACAGCGGCTTAGAGGTCAAACTAACTAGCAACCAGCAATACCTTGGAGGCTGAATGGTTCATATGATGACTCAACAGTGAGCGCCACAACTTTAAATGTATACTGATAAGCATATCGGGATTATGGGGCCATCATCACGGGAGTGCTCTTGTAATTACCAAATGGAACCTGCCAGCCACTGTGTTGACAGCTGGGTGGTTCACAGTGATACGGTTCAAGGCTCTCAATACTTTATACTTTGAAGTAAATGGTTCATAATTATTTAATGTGGGATTACCAGTAATTTCTTAGCACGTAAGTTACACTTGTCTATGTACGTATTAAAGGGAACTTAAATACATTTCTAAGAAATTAACATAATTTACAAACCGAACACACACACACACACACACACACACAAGGTACCGCTACACATCTCTATACGTCTCCGTCACTGCATATCGTTCTCTCACCTGTAGATGGGGGTGGTGAGGTGGTCTCTGAACCACAGGAGGAGGAGGATGGCGTCGCCTGGGGGGTGCGATACCTCACAGGGCAGATCCACCGTCCTTCCCTCCACCCCCGTCACTGACACCACCGGTACTGTCAGGGAGAGAGACACTGTCTTTAATACACCAGTGGCAGTGTCCAGCGGGCCAGATGCCTCTGTAATAATGAAGAAGCATACATGATATATTAACTGGTGTCACAAAGGTCAATAATACTACAGGTCAAGATATAAGTTATTCATGAATTCTGGTAACAAGGGAGTGAAACCTGTCTTAGGCAGATGAAGGTGATGCCGACATATCGCTCAACAATGTTACAAATTTGCTATAAAAGTGACGAAATAATCAGACACTGTTCACCATTTAAATCATTTCATCAGCGTTGACAATAATCGTGTGGGAAATATTGTTAAGCACCTCGAGGATTGTAATAGTTATCCAGAAATAATATATGAAAACGAAATAATGATGTCGGCCGTCCTGAAGGGAGAACTGACACATTAAATAATTGAGACAAGGAGCACCGGGTCATGACACCATTCCAATACATCATTAAGGAAGTGCCTCAATTACTGCCATCTCGTCTCCTACAGGTATATAATCCTTGACTATAGTGATATTTTCCAGATAATTTGAATATTATTTAAATCCATCACATATTTACATCCAGTGTTTAAAATCTTGTAAAGCATTGTCGCCCGTGTCAATAATCAATCCCTCTATAACTGAAAAGCTGTGCAGTATCTTGAGTCTTTCTGTAACATCATCACTGCAGGTACTACATAGTAAGATCAACTCAAAGTGTTCTAATGTCTTACACCAACGACATTTTAATCTCCTGTGATCATAGTCAGTACACAGGCATAGTGTTCTTAGATCTCACTCAAGCCGTTCATACTCTCGACCACACTGTCTTCCTATCAGCCAGAAGGCAGTGTGTCGTCAGAGGCTTAAGTAACATATGATAACGATCCGCACAATGATTATACAATTGGTTTTCGAGTATAAAAGAAAACGGTGATATAAGACAGTCTCCAGCTATAACCACCAACACCAAGGTAGAATCATCAACATCACAACCACCACTATAGAATCAACATCACCACCATTGTAGACACCAACGCCACCAGCAACACCAGGGTAGAAACTAACAACACCACTGATATTCGGGAGTCGGGTTGAAGGGATTTGAATTCAGCAATCTCACCATGTCCTGCTGTGTGCCTAGATGAGTCAGGTGGAGAGGGCCGAAATGACCACTTTACTCTCAAGCTAAATTCTGTCGAAAAACAAGGAATTTCAGGAGCGCAGTTGACATCACTCAGTTCCCCTAAATCCTGAATTTTAATTGAATTGGACCCTATGAAGGCAGTTATCAGAGAGGGAGGAGAGGGGGGGCACTCTTACACGGCACGTGGCATATCACTTCCATGACCCCTCAGCCATCGGATGAAGCCAATAAGTGTTTTTGTCCATCTCTGTATCCGTCTGTCCGTCTGTCCGATTTAGCTTGGCTCTGGGCAGTAGTTCTTCAGCTCAGAGGCCTTCCTTCTGTCGAAATATGACTGGTGGTTTCTTGTCTCACGTAAAGAATGTTTCTAAATCAAGAGTAGATAAACGTAAGCAATAACCAGCTCTTAACCACACTTATGACTGTAACTCCTCAGTGTAGGAGATTCGAACTCGGGACTAGTGGATTGCCAAAGCCAGTGTGATAACCACTCGCCCACCAAGCACACTGATGATGGATGGTGGCTCTGATTTACTGTATCTCTCTCTCTCTCTCTCTCTCTCTCACATACATACACACATACAAACAGTGATTGATGGTGTGTGTGTGTGAGACCAAGGACGTACTTTTGGAGTGAATGAATATAGCTAAGGCGTTTGTCATTGTCAGGGCCACTATGTGGGAGTGATGTATGGTGTTGACCAGTGTGTGTGTGTGTGTGTGTGTGTGTGAATGATTAGGAGAAATGGTTTAATCTATAGAGGAAGGAGTGTATCAGGAAGTAGATTACTCTGTTATACCTGCCACCTTCACCCGGCTGGCGATTACAGAGACAACCTATAGAAAATATAACACACACACACACTATTTCTTGTATGAAAGGCTGGGTTATGAGGAAAATGACTCAATCCTTCATTTAAATCTTAATATCAGACTAGATAAATTGTAGAATTATTCACGTGTAATTACCAGATTGCCAAACAAAAATTGGGGTTTAAAAAGTTATCTTAGTGGGATTTATTGGTAAAGATTGATATTAGTGAGTTAGTTGAAATAGAAACAGATTTTAGGAATAAACATGTGGAGATATATATTGACTCTGAGAACAAAATAGTTTACACGAGTGAACTTGAGTAACCTAAAATATATTTCAATTTCACTGGTTTATTTAGATGGTTTTAAATTTAAGTGAAATTTTAAAATATTGTAGGCTAATCAAGTAAACTTAAGGTAAGTAAGATTGAAAGAAAAAAAAATAAGTATAAAGAAATTGAAGAACATTTTAGAATAACGTTATTACGCTGATGTTATTGATAAAAAAAATTAAGAATTAAATAAGATATTATAAAACATTATTTAACAGTGAAATTTAAAGTGATTTTCTTTTAAAAATAAATAGTGAACTTAGTGAAATGTGAGTTTCAAGCAAAATTTTTAAAGTATCTGCAGTAAAATTTGTAATTACTACAGAGGAACACTACAGATGAGTGAGGTTAAGTGAAACTGCATAATTGAGATTCCATAATTACTGCCTCGTGTAACAGGTGGTCGGACTACCCATCTACTCAGCTTCAATGACCTAATTAAACACCAATAACAGCAGGACACGCTCTCATTATCGCTCGTGGCCAATAATGTGTTTAGTGCTTAGTCGTGAAAACTGCCCAGCGTAACTTCCCCTCACTGGGTGGGTGTAGAAAAGTGTATACTGTGTGTTAAGTACATTAGTGATCATATTGCGTTATCTGTGTATTCTTTTGTTACTGGCAAGTGTACTTAAGTGTACTGTGTGTTAACTACATTATTCTGTATATCATCATCTTTATACTGAGTATGCAAATTAATAACTGAGATATGTATTAAAGTGACTAAAGTATAACAAGTACATTAGTATGCAGATTGCAAGTAAAAAGTGTGATAAGTGCATTAATTGTCACACTACGACACTTAACAAGGCAATTGACTTTACAGATCATAATATTACCGTAAACTATGTATGGGAGAGTATCTATTGAAGAATCTTAATAAACAAAATTTGACGTTTGTGAAGTGACTCAATAGGTGTTAATGTGTACTTACAAGCAGATGTTAATGTGTACCTATAAGCAGGTGTTAATGTGTACTTACAAGCAGGTGTTAATGTGTACCTATAAGCAGGTGTTAATGTGTACCTATAAGCAGGTGTTACGGTGTACTCACAAGCAGGCGTCAGTATGTATTTTACAACATCTATCAGTAAACACTTTCCCTGCATGTCAAGTGGTCAAGTCAACATTACTCCATTTGTATATCTAAATTAATTTCTAGTTTTGACCGAGGGGGGTAAAAAAATAAGTAATTCTTTAAGTCTACCTTCAAATTCCATTAAAATCGCCCATTATATACGCAGTAAGCTTACGATATATGGGACATTATAATCTGATATACGAGTTAATTAGAGACCGTAAGTCATATCTAAATAATGAGGGCGGGGGGAAGCGTTGCACATATATCGTATACTCGGGGGGTATATTTTTCCTATGTTAAGGATAGGTTGGGATATAATAGTAAATCCTTTTTGATATACGTGGCGAATATATATATCAAATATGGTGGGTCGGGTTAACGTTGATGGTAGTCCAGGGTGCAGATTCACAAACGCTCGTAAAGTAAGGATTATTTCTCGTAAGTGCAAATGTAAGAATATATGTAACTGAAATGACTTACGATAAAAAAAATATTATTACTAAGATTACTTTAACTAGATAACGCTCACTTACCGTCAGTTAAGAGACAAATTAAAGGTCACAATGGCTTCAAACTTAAGCTGTGACTATACCTTAACCAGATACGTTCACTTACCATCAGTTAAGTGACTAAATGAAAGTAGATAAACAGCAGAAAAAGACCAAGTATCTTAAGTTTTGTCTCCTAACTGGTGCTGTACGATTGTAACTTGTAAAGGGTAAACTTTAAGGGTAATTTTCACGTCATATTTGTGTTTTAAATCAGACGGTGAAATACATTCTAGTTTATTGTGGTTGGTCTCTTCGTTTGTTTGTATGTTTGTTGTTTAATTATTTGTCCGTTTTATTCTGTCCTTTCCTTTATCCTTTTGTTTGTCTACCCGTCCATTTCTTTTATATAGCTGTCTATCTGTCCATCTCGTACCCTTGGTGTCCGCTCGTTTGTCATTATATGTTATCTCGTATCATTCCTAGTAATTATATAATATTAACCCTAAATTTGTATCTCACCTTAGACTCTAAATTCTAATCGTTTCGTAAGATTATTTTCTCTCGTAACTAGGGATGAAAAACCTATCTAGTTACTGTATAAAAATCAAGGCAGCTTCGTCTCCATGTTGGCCTCTGTCTTTGTCCCATCTCTTAAGACAACCAGTTAGATGTTTTTATCATGTGAACGTGGAGCCCATAAGCCCGACTGCCTTTATTTCCTGAACGTTAAAGTTAGGTATTCATTCACAGTTGGGTGAACTAGGGATGCCCTGGAGACGAACCAACAATCTTAACGACAAAATGTATCCGCCCAGCCACAGCATCCCTTCTTATAAAAGTTTCAAAAATAAAGTTTTAAAACTTTGAGAATATTTACCGTAAATCGTCTGAAAATAAGTTCACGATAACAATTTGTTCTTAAAACTGAATAAAAAAAAACTTTCAAACTATCGATCCCAAAACATTCTTAACATTGGTTCTTCTTATAACTCATTTTGCTTTAAAGTCAGAACAAAGTTATCAAACTGTGTGGTGTTGGCCGGAGGATGACAAGTGTTAACGCTCTTGTGTTTATCACTGTTTCAACGGGATTACATTTCTCCGTTACCTGCCATGAATTGTTCTTTTATGCGATAGTAAGAGGCTATAAAAGAACTCGACAAGCGTTAAAAGCAATAAAGATGTGCAGGAAAACAGCACAAAATTGAGAAAAATTGGAAGAAACTCTTTTTGGGAGGATTATATCGTCGCGGCCACGGTGTTGGGTAACTGCCACCTGAAGGACAATTGAAGTGTTATTGTTTTGGATTTTTGAGATAGTCGAAACAAAATAACTACGCTTTACAAAACTAATACTATAAAGATTAGTGGGTAGTTAGGGGCATTAATGTTGGTCAAGTGGCTACAACGCTCGCATCCTGTTCCAGGGGTCGGTGGCTCGGTACCCGGGCACCCCCAGTTCACCCAGTTGTAAATGGGTACCTAAGCTTACAACTTAGGGAAGTGAATGTGGTTGAGAGCAGTACCGACCCTAATGGACAGTCATGCCTATATGGGACCCACTTTCACAGTTAAATTACGTAAGGCAAGAATAAGATTGGCTTGAGTAGGTTAGATTATTATCAAGTTAGCTTAGGTTAAGTTAATCTAATTCATAACTCCCGAAGCCCAAACGATAGTGGTGTTTTGTTCGTGGTGATACTTCAACACTGGCCACCTCATATCAATCCCCCTTACAAGGCAATGATCTAGACAAGAAAAAAGAGTTATTTCTACTGAGAGAGTTTCTATGGGATTCCAACAAACACTTCCAGGAACAAACAATGGAGAAAGAAAGAGAGGAGGATGAGGGGAGAGACGAGGAAGGGGAAGCAGAAGAGGGTAGAATAACAGAAACGGAGATATATATATATATATATATATATATATATATATATATATATATATATATATATATATATATATATATATATCGAGAAAGATGAGAGGGTGAAGAGGTAAAAGTAAGAGAAGACGATAACAGAGTAAAGAGAGAAAGAGAGAGAGAGAGAGAGAGAGAGAGAGAGAGAGATGAACGAAATTGAGAAAGAATGAGAAAGAGGAAGAGAAGAGAAAAAGGTTTGTCCAGCTGCTCTTTTAATTCTTTTTTCATACAAACATAACTCCAGTGTGAATTAAAACATATAATTTACATGTATCTTAATTTAGTATTCTGAATGTGAATACAATTATAAAGAAGCTGGTGCGTCATTGTGTCTGTCAGTTTGTCAGTATGTCCGTCAATGTGTCTGTCGATTTGTGTTTGAGTGTCGGTCAGTGTTGCAGGATGCTGTTGTTTACTTTGCCATTTTGCACTCTTGCTTATAACTCCTGCTTGAGTTATTTGCCTATGTGTTTTCGATAACATGGAAAAATTACTTAATGGTGCCCTGTGTGTGTGTGTGTGTGTGTGTGTGTGTGTGTGTGTGTGGTTCAAGCAATGTGGTAAATTTAAGATGCCTGCAATATGGAAACTCTGGTCAATATTGCATGCAACATGGTAAACTGAGGCAGCCTGTGAGAGAGAGAGAGAGAGAGAGAGAGAGAGAGAGAGAGAGAGAGAGAGAGAGAGAGAGAGACTCTATCTCCCACTCATCTTACCGTCTCCCGTCCAAAAGTCGTTCATTAGACAGGTACTATCCCCTTTCCTGTTTCTCAGAGATTCTTAAGATAATTTTCTCCAATTACCAGAGGTGAGAACCCATCTTGCTCTCTTAACATACGATATGAACATAGAGATGAAGATGATGTTGAATTTACACCGAGTCTCTATTTCCTTTATCTTATCTCCGGTTTAGAATATAAGAAGTCTTCATATAAAACTTATGTATCTTACAGAATCTTAAGTGATGGAGGCCTCTCTCTCTCTCTCTCTCTCTCTCTCTCTCTCTCTCTCTCTCATTTGATTTACTATTTATTTCATTTCACCTCTTCCCCCTCTTCTCCTTTACCATCAATTTCTCTAACATTATCTCTCTGTATGTCTCCCTCTACCCAGTTTCCCTATCCAGCAAAATTAACAAATATGTCTCAATATATCTCTCAGTCTTAATAATAACATATCTCTCCTATTTCAACACTACGTAATCCTCCCATTTTGTTTTACATTATATAATTTCCCAAGTTACAATATGATTCCCCCAATTTAAGATTATATAAATCTCCTATTTTTTACAACATAAAATTCTCCCATTTAACGTCATATAATTCTCCCGGTTTAACTTGATATAATTCTAATGCACTGAGTTGTATGTCTAATTGGGAAACGAAAACAATGACAATATGATCAGAGTCCCAAACTTTCGGTTGGCGGATTATCAGGGGTTAAGAAGGTACCTAGGTGAGGTCACCTGGGAACAGTCACGTCAGTCCCCAGTAGGAAGGGGTGAGGTCATAGATGACACAACAATTGATCATGACTATAATATATTCACTAGTATACTACATAAAGCACAAGAACAAAATATACCATACAGAAAAATTAGGTCAAATAAGAATGAGCCAAGGTGGATGACCAGAAAACTTAAACATGACATAGGAATAAAGAAAGGAATATATAAGAAATTAAAGGGAGGGGAGGAGCAGCTCAGAAACAGGTATAATGAACTATCTAGGAATGTTAAGAAAAATGTAAGGAAAGCAAAGAGAGACTATGAAATCAAAATAGCAAGAGAATCCAAGGCGAATCCCAAGGGATTTTTCCAGGTATATAGGACAAAGGTCAAGGACAAAGTTGGGCCTTTTAAGTCAGGGAGGGGAGAATTGATAAATGGCAGTGAAGACATGAGCAAAGCATTGAACAGCTACTTCTTATCAGTTTTCACAGAAGAAATTTGCGATGAAATTCCGGAGGTGGAACTGATATTTAAGGGAAAGGAAGAAGAGAAATTAAAGAATATCACCATCAGAAAAGAGGATGTTCTTAAGAAGATAAATAAACTAAAGAACACAAAATCCCCAGGGCCGGATGAAATTTTTTCTCGAGTCTTAAAAGAGTGTAGGGAACAGATTAGCGGACCCCTCGTAAATTTATTTACAAAATCATTAGACACTGGAGTTGTGCCAGAGTTGTGGAAACAGGCGAATGTAGTACCCATATTTAAAAAGGGAGACAGAGCATCAGCGTCAAATTACCGGCCGATCAGTTTGACGTCAGTAGTGGGGAAATTTCTTGAATCAATTATAGCAGATAGCATCCGATCGCATCTAGAGAAAAGCAAATTAATCTACGACTCTCAACATGGGTTTACAAAGGGAAAATCTTGTCTAACAAATCTGCTAACGTTTTTTAGGAAAGTCTTCGAGGTAGTAGATAATGACGAAAATTACGATGTTATTTACTTAGACTTTAGCAAAGCATTTGACAGAGTACCGCATCAGAGGCTTCTGAGAAAAATTAAGGCTCATGGTATCGAGGGAAAGTTTTAAATTGGATAAAATCATGGCTCACCGATAGAACGCAGAGGGTCAGCGTAGATGGTGTTAAATCTGAGTGGGGCCGTGTAACCAGTGGGGTTCCCCAGGGGTCAGTACTAGGCCCACTCTTGTTCATAATCTACATAAACGATCTAGATACTGGGATCAGCAGTGACATAAGCAAGTTTGCGGATGACACCAAAATAGGGCGGCAAATTAATTCAGGGCAGGATGCAAATGCATTACAGGAGGATCTAAATAAACTGCAGGGGTGGTCTGAAAAATGGCAAATGAAATTCAACACCAGCAAGTGCAGCGTACTTAATATTGGAAGAACAAATACTTATAATGTATACAGCCTGAACAACATCAACCTAGAGAAGTCGACTTGTGAAAGAGACCTAGGGGTACTTGTAAGCCCGGACCTACGGCCTAGAAAACAGTGCGTTAATGTTCGAAATAAGGCAAACAGAGTATTGGGTTTTATATCTAGAAGTGTAAGTAACAAGAGTGCAGAGGTCTTATTGCAACTATATCTTGCGCTAGTTAGGCCGCACCTCGATTATGCGGTTCAGTTCTGGTGCCCCTATTATAGAATGGATATAAATTCACTAGAGTCGGTGCAGCGAAGAATGACAAAAATGATTCAGGGACTTAGAAACCTTCCATATCAGGATAGGTTAAAGAAACTTAACTTGCATTCCCTAGAAAGACGAAGAGTGCGGGAGATATGATAGAAGTATTTAAGTGGGTGAAAGGAATCAATAAAGGGGATATAGATAAAGTTCTTATAATATCCGAGCAGGATAGGACTCGGAGCAACGGATTCAAGTTGGATAAGTTTAGGTTTAGATAGGAAGAAACTGGTTCACAAATAGGGTGGTGGACGAGGGAACAAGCTTAGCAACTTTGTAGTAAGTGAACTCTGGAAAGTTTCAAAAAGGAGGCTAGATAGATTCATGGATGTTAGAGAGTGGTAGTAACTCCGACAGGAGCTGCCATGCACAGGCCAACCGGCCTATTGCAGACTCCTTATTTTCTTATGTTCTTATGTCTAAATAGTTTCGACATGAAGTAAGTCTTACTACATTATGGACAAGGTATATATTTTTTTCTTATTTAGTGAAACATAAAGCCGTAAAATTACCTGCTGATTCATTACACACCGTATATTGGTCTTTCGGTGGATCACCTTACGATTAACCCCCTAACTTATTTTGGCTTGCGATTAACCACCCTAATCTAACCTAACCTAACCTAACCCCCTATGTAGAGTTAAGGTGGTTGATCATCACGTGAAATAAACTCGTGGCACATCTTTAGGTGAGCCCTTTCGTCTCGTATCTTTACCTGGAGAATACCTGCAGCGAGAGGACGCTGCGATGATGGGTCAGCCACCCAGTCAACCAACTAGCCAGCCAGTCAACCAACCTACCAACCAGTCAGTCAGGCAGCTAGTCAGTCAGGCTATTGCTTCAGGTAACAATCTCCGCCGCCAGGGCAGCCGTGGAGCCAGGGAGCCGCCTCACTGTTAACACCAAATCAACTACGGTTCGGAATCCCCAAGGTTCTGAAGCAGCAGAGTCCACGCAGTGAGGGCCTTCATTAACAACGCCAGTGAAGACCGAGTGATAATCAAATTATACTTCAAAAACGTCTTCAACCAGACCAGGGGAGATAAGGTGATCAAAGCCGTCCATTTCCATTTCCGCTGTCTGCTGACCTTCATGACTGCGAGACTCAGCAAGGACCCAACCCTCCTCTTCGGTTAACATGAAATCGCAAATGGATCCACTTTCCCCACTACCTTTTTAAGTAACAGCAAAAGGGGCTCATAGACAGCCTGACCAGCGAAATTAACATGTGGTTCTTGGATGACGGCACTCTGGCGGGTTCGTCGGAGTCGGTTCCAAAGGACGTCAGTCGAGTGCTGGCCGAGGGAGGAGCACTAGGCCTCACCCTCAACGCTTCCAAGTGTAAAATCATCTCGGATGATGAGAACACCATCCACCCGGCCAACAGCGTCCTGCTCGGGTCACCACTGGGCGTCAATACGATTCCATTCATCCACCGGAGTAAACTGAACGACTTAAAAAGAGATGGAAAAAAAAATAGGTCACCTGGACGTCCACGATGCCCTGTATCTCCTAACGAAGTGCTTCTCTGCGCCCAGGCCAACGTATTTCCTCAGGTGAGCACCGTCATTCGACAGCCACATGTTGCAAGAGTACGATGAACTTCTTAGAGCCATATTTACAAAGGCCATGAACCTCTCCTTGGAAGACTCCCAGTACAGTAGACACAAGCTACTCGCCCTGTACGTCTAGCAGGAGTTGGCGTGCACAAAGTCTCCAAAATCGCATTACCAGCATTCATGTCACCCAACGTAGCAACAGACAAACTGGTTCGGAGGATCGTCCCAGAACACTTGAGTGCGGCCGCGGGAATAAACGACCGAAGGTTCATGTCCTAAGCACCTACACCGACGCCAAAGGACAGACAGCAAACCCATTGGAATAAACCCACCGTGGAGAAGAATGCCCTGGACCTGCTTGGGAGGGTATCAAATGACAAAAAGAAAGCGTTTGCAAGCAGTGATGCTCAACGTGCCGGGGAATTTCTCCTGGCCATCCCAAACTCCTTTTTAGGGACCCGCCTCGATCCCCATGCTTTCCGTCTTAAAATAGTCCTCCGCCTTGCGGCCCATATCCACAATGTTTACAAGTGTATCTGAGGCAACGAATTGGCAGACCAAAGATGCAGCCATACCCTCATATGTGCATAATCGGGGTTTGGCATGCGAGGCAACACGAAGTAAATGACGTCGTCAAGAGGAGTCTGACAACTGCGGGCTGCCCAGACGGCATCACGCTGACTCTATAGATGCACGATAAACAGCTGCTGTGACATTACAAATACAAACCTTAGCCCAATATATTGTTTTATCCCAATAGGATGCAGAGACTCAGGGAGTCTGGGGCACAAAAGCCCCGAAGTTTCTCATTCAGCTGCTCCCCAGGTTCATTGAAACTACCAGTACCTCAGCATAGAAATCCCGAGACGGAATGCCTCCTACTCACTGGGATCTCGTCCCTCACCTGAAGGGCTTGATGGAGTCTTCGAATTGGACCGAGTACGTACGATGTAACTAAAAATAAATAAAAACTCTATAAACTGATTAAAAAATGACAAAACTAGGGAGGTAGTGGAAGACAATATACAGAGTTCAGGGAAAATAATAAAAATTTCCTTGAACGACGATAGCTCTCTTTTCTGAGGCAAAGGGTCTCCGTGACTTAAAGGACTTTATTAAGCGTATTTAACCTTGTAAATAAGTTATCGTATTAGTAAATAAAGTATATCATTACATAGTTCTTTACAACTTCCTATGAAAAGACAAAATTGACTTGAGAACTTTTTAGATTCCAATCTCATGTCGTAGCTTAAGTGAACATTACCAATTATTCAGTTGGGTAGAAGCAATAACTTACGTCCCTTGTAAAATGTCATCTTAATTCAAGCGAGGTGGTTGAATACATCCCCCAATCTCTATTTGAGAGAAAATATTGAACATACGAACTTTGGAGAATCCATCTTGTGACGGAGTTATAACCCAAGTTGATTAATTTTTACATCTCCAGGTACCAGGTGAAAAATCATCTCCAAGTCACCACAGTCAACGCAGGACAAACTACAGTCATGAGAGGAGAGAAATTGTGATGATACTGTAAACAACTATATAAAGACTCTCTCTCTCTCTCTCTCTCTCTCTCTCTCGGTGCCGGGTTCGAACCGAGATCACCACGGTTAGCAGTCAGGCAGCTAGTTAGTAGTTAAGGTGGGGTAGCTTTTAAGCCCATCGTGGTCCAGTGGACTAGCTGCCTCACTGCCAACCCTGGTAGCGTTCGAACCCAGTACCCAAAGTTACTTTAGGTCTCTAAAAATACGAAAACAAATTACATCAGTTTCCTAGTATTAACTACACCAACTGCAACATTTTTCTCTAGTAATACTGAAACCAATCATAAAAGTTCTCAAACAATAATTAAAAACTATATCCGTTCTCTTAACAAAAATAAAAAATCATTTATAAATCATAATTCATGAAGAATAATTAGCTTTGCGAGATAAAAAGATTATGAATAAATCTAAATGGGTTAAAATAAATTACAATGAAAAACGCTACAAACACACAAACAGAAAACAAACAAAAAATTGATAGGATAGGAAAATAAATAAACTGGCACAATGTTACGAACGATTAGGAAACGAAAAGCTGATTCAACATAAATCTTATAAACACTTAACAGGAAATTAATTTCAGTCCGACTTTAACACATTCTTTTTTACTGTGTTAAATATTTTTTGGAGAGAAATTTATTAAAAAAACTTGTAATGAACATGCGAGTCGAAATCATTACTAGAATTCAATCTCTCTCTCTCTCTTTCTCTCTCTCTCTCTTTCTCTCTCTTTCTCTCTCTCTCTCTCTTTCTCTCTCACAATTTCTCGCACATGCACATTCCTTCCTCTCCCAGTTTAATAACTCTCACACAGGTTTTGGTGTAATCTTTTGCCTTTTTGCCTCTACATTGCTCCATCCACTTTGCAATGCCAAGATTTCTCTCCCCCCCCCCCTCTCTCTATACCCTCATAATATTTTTTTCTCTTTACCCTCATAATACCTCTCTCTCAATCTCTCTCTCCATCACCACACACTCAAAATACGTGTCTGGTAATGCAATAACACTCCCACAAGTTTGTACTTAACAAACTGTGTCCCTCACTGACTTGATTGCACAGGTAACTTTTCCCAGTCATTTGCAAGACTTCCTGATTCTGCATCAAATTTGTAACAAGTTTGAGGTTCCAACGCTTGGATGAGACGATTCTGCATTTCAAACTTTTTCCCCCAATCTATTGAATAATATTTATGTAGTTAAATTTCCACGATTCCATATTTTTTTTTTAAATTTTTTTTTGGGGGGGGGGCTTCTTTATTCATTTTTTTCCTTACTGACTGACTGGATGTATATTTCTAAAGTACTATGACAGTATTAATTGCGAAAACAAAGTACTATACTAGTCTTAACCCCGAAAACAAGGTACTATGGTAGTCTTAACTGAGAAAATTAAGTACTTAGTCTTAATTGAAAAAACAAAGTACTATACTCGTCCTAAAGGCGAAAACAAACTACACTACTTGTCTAAACTCCGAAAACAAAGACCTAAACTAATCTTAATTCCGAAAACAAACTATACTAGTCTAAACTCCGAAAACAAACTACTGTATTAGTCTAAACTCCAAAAACAAAATACGATACTAGTTCCAACAGTGAAAACAACACACCAGTCCTAACAGCGAAAACAAACAACTCTACTTAATCTAAACTCCGAAAACAAACTACTGTATTAGTCTAAACTCCGAAAACAAAATACAATACTAGTCCCAACAGTAAAAACAACATACTAGTCCTAACAGCGAAAACAAAATACAATACTAGTCTAAACTTCGAAAACAAACTATTGCATTATTCTAAACTCCGAAAACGAAACACAATACTAGTCCTAACAGAAAAAAACAGGAAATATTGACTTTACAATCCTTAAAATATTATGAACATTGCAGATAAGTCCTTTGTAAATGTTTACTTTTGTGTGCGTCTGACCAAACCCTCAGTCAAAATCTGGAGTGTATGATCTGATATAGCTAATGAGAGAGAATCATTAATTTAAGACAGACAAAGTGTACAGTTCTCAGGCCAGACTTTCATTGTTTCGAACGCTCTCTCTCTCTCTCTCTCTCTCTCTCTCTCTTGAATAATATTACATGTACTGTACTTTACATTATAAATTCCTCGTCATTCATAAATGAATATTCAGGATGAACACCTCACACAACTCTCTCTTTTATATGTATAAAGCTCACTCATCCAAGGGAAAAATTTTAAACTTTAATCGAGTTAAAAATCTAATTTAAACTCGATCGAAAAATGGTAAAATGTTCGGTTTATATATAATTTGCTCCAGAAATAAAAAACTCTTAAATTGGTCGGTTATTTATTAATTTATTAATAAATGTTTTCCAAAAAATTCGGATATCAATTAATATTCGGTTAAGGAGGCGTTTATATGTCTATCTTCTGGATATCAATTTATATTTTCCTACACCGTATTGGAGTCGAGTTTAGTAAAGGTATACAATATGTACGGTTATATCACAATATTTCGAACCAATGTAAGCGTTCATTTCATATTTCACTGAACCACTGCAGTATACGCCCTTATATCACAAGTTATCGAGCAAATATACCCTCTAATTTTTCAGTTTATCTCAGACATACGAGTCTCTTTCACAATTTATCTAACAAAAATTCACCTCATACATTATCGCCCAAACTTACGCGTTTATTTCACAAATTTTCGAACAGATATACATTCTCATTCCTCAATTTATCGCACAAAACACACCATAATCTTGCCTTGGATTTTTTATGGATTCAGGGATGAGTGTTGGTGACAGCCAGCCGAGCCAGATTCACCTCCTCACGAACGATAAATTCGCGAAATTCTCCACCGTTCTATTTACGTCAATAATTCAGTGAAGATGAGAATATTGTCGTGGTGGCGGCAGATATTACCATCTGGTTTATCAGAGACGATATTTACAGCATGATAAGATGGTGTTTATTATTATTTTTATTATTATTATTGTTATTATTATTATTATTATTATTATTACAGCGTAGTTCTCGAATGCATAAGCCATTTCATCAC